GCAAGATGCCTGAGTATGTGAGAAATGTAGTGAAGGGAACTGTAATATTTATAAAGAATAAAATAAATGTAGTGAGCATCTGCAAAGAACTTCACATTCATATAGTTTTCTAGCAGCTATGGTAAAGGGTCAGAAATACATTGTGGCTACAATGCCTGTCTGCCATGACAAAACAAGCAGTTCTATCAAGTCACATTTTACTAATGATGTAGTAGAAGAAAGCAGCATTTAAATTACCCCATTACAAATTCCAGTTCTAATGTAAAATACATTAGGAGCACAAAAGGGTTGTCTCTTTCCTTCCAGGCAGTACACGTTTAGGGTTTGTTTCTTTCTGAATTATACTGACTACTGTTTGTTTGCAAGATGTAAACAGTGAGAACTTAACAATTAACAGCATTTCTGTCCAGTTCTTGTTCTTCACTGACCATCAAAGGGGTGGTTTTAGAAAGTTCTGTTTTTTCTTTACTCTCCTCATCTTCTAGATCCATTGATCTTGCAGGGTCTTCCTCAGAAGTATCATGCGTATTGACCCTAGATGCTTCAGTTGCATTTCCTCTGACTGTAATGTGCTCCCATCCACCCTATAAAAGAATGATAAAGAAATATAATAAAAAAAAAAATCATGCTGCAATTACAGTATTTGATATGATGCTTTGTATACACTGCTAGTTTTATACTATTTGTTCTTTGTAAGGAAAATAATTCTGATCTGGCCTGAATCAGAAAAAAGACTCCTTGTAAAACAAAATGAAAAACATGACAGCCTGTGTAATTCCCAAAGAACCAACATGCATATTCACCTCGTCTTTTAAAATTCACGTGCAGACCTCAACAGTGCAATTTGCTGTTTTTTTTTTCTGACCGGAACACCTAAAAGGGGTGAGTGTAAGGGTCCTTGGATACCCCCCCCACCTCCAGCGGTTTGGCTGCCTGGGCTTAGAGCCAGCTTGGTGCAGCTGAGGGCCCTGGTGACCTGGAGAGAGGCTCCCAGGCAGCTCTGCTAGGCGACTGCAGCCAGGGCTGACCTCCCTTCCCTTCCCTTCCCGAAGGAGCTGTTTTAAGCTTGGCTTTGCTCCTGCTGTGTCGCAGCCGTGCCTGTGCCTAGCCATGGGCCTCACTGATCCAGCCCCACAGACGGACTTCCCGGCCTCACCTCAGACCTGCCTCGTGGTCACGGACTTGTCTGATGATCCGGGCTCTGGGCTGCCCCACGGGCCTGCCGCACTTGGGGGCTATGGGACAAACCCTTACTGGCGCTGCCCCTGCCCTGCCAGCCTTGTTACCGTGCTCAGCTCCCGGCTCCCTGTCCCTTAGGGAGCAGCCAGCCTTTGCTGCTCCCTGACAGTGAGATACATGGAAGAGAAAGCTTGAGGGTGATTTTTTGTTGGGTGGGGTCAGGCATTCACCCAAAGCCAGGGGAGTTTTTCCGCCAATTTAGAAGGGGCCAGAACGTTGAAATAACCTTTCTCAAAACACTGAGGGTAATACAGAGCAACAACGAGGGATGATCATGTGCAGAATAGGAAGGAATCTCCTGTTTTGAAATGCTACTTTATTTTTTCCACTACAACAATTACCTCGTCAAAATGAATACTTACTGAATATCAGTTAACTTTCTCCTACCAATTTTAAGTTTTCCACGTTCAGAACTCTGTAACCATTATAAAAGAGCTAAAGTTTAGTAAAATGCAAATAAGTGACTTTGCAGTTATAACTGAATAATCCATTATATCAAGTTAAAAAAGGCAGTAAAACTGAAGAACGGGTCCATTTCCTGCAGGTATATGCAAGCTTTAGAAAGCTCACCTGCTGAAGCAGGATGGTACCTTCCTTTCAAAGGCGGTGCCCATTAATCTCCCAACTGGTAGCTGGATACCAACTCTAAAGCAACGTTATGCCCCCAGCACTTACCCCAATACCATAGTCCCACGCAAGCCCCTTAGGTTCCATGGGCTGAACACCAGTCCGATGGCAGACTGTCCCACAGCTCAGACTGTGACTTCCTTGCACCTTGTCAGCTATCACCCAGACCTTAAGAAAGCAAAAAGAGGCAATCAAATGTATTCTACAGGCTGTTCTTCCCCAAAATTAAAGTTCTTAAAATCAGTCTTGATCCTTGCATAGAGCAATATGCTGAATTCAGTCAGAGCAATCAAAACAAAGAACTAGATGCTGGAGCTGTAGTGAAAACATTGCTAAACAGTAAGACTTTGCACGAAAGATTTACTTTTTTTTTTAAACAAGTGTGTTTACAGCAAAAGGCTGGCTGTATCACTATTCATTGGCCTAATTTTGTGCTACTATCAGGATTCCAGCATTTAAACGATCACCTTGTGGAATAAATAAAACTAAACAAAAAAACCAAAAAAACTAGAGTTTCTGAAGAACATTTAATTAAATGACAAAAATATGTTAAACATAATGTTTAGTAAACTAGTAAGATATAAGAAAGCCTAATACATACCTGGTCCAGAGGCCCTACAGACATTTTACGGATATTATTTGAAACATGATCCCAAGTAGATCCTTGAGGGTAGCTTGGTGTAATACCTTGCCGATACCAAAGGTTGCCTATAAAATAAACAGTCTTGAATTGTAATTCAGGATGACTACTTATGTAACGTACTAGTAAACAACATAAGAGATCAATAATTAATACTTGTCATGTTCTGTGGTAACACATTATGGATCTGAGTAATGTGTTAACGTGAAGGAAGATGTAGTTTCCTACTTTGGAAGTTATATTTCTACAGATAATTCTTTCTAACTTTCCTGAAAAATAGCAGATACTCTATTTTGTAACATTTCTTGGGGGAAAGTGTTTCTATAAAGAACTATGCATTAGAGAAGTAAAACAAATAAAATGGAGATCTCTGAAGAACACCAGAGTTCAAGGCTTTTTTCTTTTACAAAAGGACCCTTCGTAATTTGTCTTGCAACGACAGTGTAATTTTAGATTCTGCCAAAGGAAGGTATTCTTCTCCAGTTTTGTACTTTCTAGGATTTCAGACAAAAAAAAATCCTTCCATGCAATTCTCTTCTTTGAGATTCATCTTCATTAGATTTTTTTTCCCCCAAAAAAGCGCACAGATGCTGGATTGTTATTTAAGGCACCAAATATATCAAACTACAAGTCTTCAAAAGCAGTAATTAAGCAGGCTGCCTACTCCGTCTCTTTGAATATGAAATATTATTCCTCTTGGAGCAACAACAAACTGTCCAAGCAGATGACCTAAGACTCTCCTTTTAAATCAGTCTGATCTTTGCTTAATTTTTTTTTTTCTGAGTGCCTGTAACAAAGATAAATAATTTTTAAAAAATCCTCACCATTTTTATCCAACACAAACACAGATGTTCGTCCTACTGAGACTTGTTTTAACTTTTGTTTCTGAGGCGAAGGAATATGGTACCAACAGTCACCTGAAAGTCAAAAATACTTGAGTAAAACATTGAGCAAACAGAATTATGTTATGAGATTTCTCAGGAAGGTCTGCAGTTGATACATGTAGAAGTGCACAAAACTGGTGAAGGACATTATACTTGATATATTTTTACTAGCTGGTCTTTACAGACACATACACTGTTTTTAAACATCACACAGTGAAGAGCAGATTAACTGCTCTAATTAGCATGATTATTATTCATACACACTGTTTTGCATGCTTATTGGAAAGGCCTGTGCTAAACATGTCTTTTTCAGACATGGTAGCATAGCAGTTTGCACAATGTGTAAGAGGAAGATTGTACCAAAAAAAGTTAACATTTCCTAGCTAGCAGGAGAGATCTGTGCAAAAAGGAGATAATTTTTTTGAAGTACTGAGAAAAACAGCACAAAGTCCTCTTCTATCTGGTGTCTGCTCCCTTGCAAATTGAATAAGTAATAGTTACTGGAATTCAAAGAAATTTGGGCTATCTTGACAACTCCAGTTTTTTTTTTTTTTTTAAGCAATTGAAATTGTGGGAACCAGTGAATATCAGCATTGCCACAGCAGAAGGGCTTTACTTGTCTGACAGAGAGTATGGGGAGAACTGGCGGATGCTACGTTAACAAGATTCTCTCCCAGCTCTTCTGAAGACAGAAAAATACAGCTGAGTGATGTGAGAAGGATAGTGGAAGTACCAAAGAAGGCAATCATCTCCTTTTCAACTACATGTACAGAATCTGCTTTTATAAATCAATGACTTCCATTTCCTCTTCTGGTTCTCTAGCGTGACCTTTCTGTGGAAATTTGAGCTCAGGAATTTAAGGACAAAGAGGGAGCAGGAGATGGGAAAACACTTCTGCATATATGAATCTGTAAAAATGAAAAAAAAAAAAAATCACTCCATGGATTTGAATATTTTAAATTTCCTAGTACAGCTGCATGTAAGCAATGAAATGCAGCTATTTAGCTGCATCAGGTTAATGAGCTCTGCTGTAATGACAGGTTCCAGTTTACAAGTACTGACCTGCAGGTTTTTTTGGAGCTACAGAACCTCGATAGAATGCAGAACCATCTCTAGCAATAGCCCACACTTGGTAAAATGCTCCAATTGAGACGGAAATGAACGGCTGATCTGTTCCCACATGAAGCCAGGATGTTCCCTAACAAATCATGGAAAACAAATTGTGAAACAGTGGTTAAAAACTCCATGACAAAACATTGTTCATTATTACCAAACAGGAAAAATCCTAGACGGTGAAAAAGATTCTGAAAAATAATTTTTATATACCTTTGTGACTGAACAGAAACAAGGGGTCTGATCCTCAAAGATATGTGGGTGTTTACTTCTCTTTGAGATTAATATCTGTGCTGAACTATAGCAGGGCCTTTTCTGTTGAAATCACTGGAATTTAGGCACCTACATGTCTCTAAACAGCTGGGCTAGAGACTGTTTTAAATAACCTCATTTTTGTTTATACAGAACAACAGTCCTACCAAAGCCTGCCAGCATGGGGGGTTCAGATTCCAGACGCAGAATGTTGCACTGCTGTACAGAGCTGTACTACTGTAACAAATCTGACAGGAAGGGAAAAAAAAAATCTCTAGAATTTTTCAATTTTTTATGTTTTTTTCTCCATTTAAGTATATTATTTTTTTTTCCTGTTGTAAATATGGCTTAAAATTAGTGCATATCAACCTTAATTTGGTGTTCCAACATATGCTTATTATTATTAGGAAAGAACTATTGCTATTGAAGTTACTGTGACCATATGCATCTTTCTGCATATTTTACTGGACATTAACTCGCTATTTCTGTCGTAGTTCATAAAAAAGACAACTCTACAGGAACATCTAGGCCTACCTGTCTTTTAAGAAGAGTCAATTCCAAGCACCTCCCCACACATATACAATCAATGAACATATTCCTATCGATACCAGTGGATATTAGATTTGGGTCATAGTTTAGATAAGCTCTATCCCTGGGCAGTTTATTTAAATGGAAAATACACATTATCAACAGTTCAAAAAAGAAAAAAGGAAGGAACTAAGCTATAAGGGCGGAAAGTGGGAATAAAAGAAATGTGTTTATCCAGGTGATACAAGGGATGAGAGAAGTTACTGCAAATAAAGTGGCACAAGCTAAGGTAGATTATACAAGAGAAGCGATATTGTAAGAAACGTATGCAGAAAATCATATTACAGGTGATGGATGAGGATTTTCAAATCCCTTACAGATAAAGGAAAAAAACTAACAAGGTGCTTTGAGAGAGGACACACACTGCATGATGTGTTCACGTACTCAAATAATTACATTTAATAGACAAATAAGGCAATGAAAATAAACAGAGAGCCTTACAGCTGGATTTTGCTGTGTCACTCCAAGCCTGCAGAGCACGTCTCCTTTGTCACTGATTGCCCACAGTGCTACTGATTCTTCATCATCTGCATCTGAACTGGGAATTATGGAGATGTCCCATAGGGTAACAGGAGGCACTTCCAGCCACGGCCCATTGGTGACTATCTTACATTTTCTGAAGCACAAAAACCCCAAACCCATCAAGAAGCATGCTCTTTCTACAACTGAATTTACTCCCTTCTCCAGTGCAAACAATGTCCAAGGCCTCTCATTAATTAGGTATTATAAAAATTCATATTTTTAGTTCAAAAGAGGCTTACAACAATCAGACTCATTTTTGGAGTCAAGTTTTATTAAATTTCTGACAAATACTACATCTGTTCTGATTTCACAAAGTCTGTCTTCTTAAAAGTTACTTTCTAAAAGCAAGGCCCCTGAAGAAGCCTGCAGCTTGTGCTGCGCTGCTTCCTATCTTTAGATCTAAAGATTGGCATTGCCAATTGGATTGCCATTGCCATTGGACTGCCACTGGCAGCAGCTGGGTAATGCATGTTTGACCCCCAGCTGAGAACTCCACTGCAGAGGGAAGAATTCCACACCTGGTTCATTCCTTAAGGGAGTCATTTTACAATTTATTTTTTAGTGGGGACTGTTAGAAAGCAAACAAAGCATTCCGAACTAAGCAGGGATATGGAAGCTCTACATTAAAGGGTTGGAGGTGGGTCGTTCTGAGAATCAATACATTTTTCTATGGAAACAGCAACAAAATAGTGCTTTTTTTTTTTTTTAGGGAAAATATATTAGAATCTATCATCAGAATAGTTATTTCTATGTATAAAGATTGTCCTACAGACTCGGGAATTCCTCCCTTTTTCAGTTCTGAAAAACTGAAGCTGAGGCTGAACTGAACTGAATCCAGCCCTGAGCTGTTTCCTCTTTGTTTTCAATTTTAAACCAATAGTTAAAACAAGAGAAATGTTTAGGCTTGAGGGTATTTCTCTAGTTGCATATTTTACTTTCAAGTCACCATTTAGACTGATTGGATACCATTTATTTTGTTGTACATCCTGGAACAATAACGGTTTGATGCTCCAGGGCCTTACTTATAAGACATTGTACAAGGGCCAAAACACTAGCTTTGTAACCACTGTAGAACAGTGTGTAACTGTAGGTTCACAGCAATTTATTAGCATAGTTATTAGATACTCCAGTACAAGAAAGCACAGAAAAGCCAGAAAAACAGTGAATGCACAGACTTTCCCTGCTTAACAGAATATGGTGGTGATTCGCTATTTTCCCTAGTTCCATCTGAATACAGTGTACTGTGATTTAAATGTGGTTGGGATTATCTGTGGCCTAGTACATGGTATGTGGAATTTACAGGTTAAAACTATTAATATAAAAGGTGACCAGTTGTTACAAGTGACCTAGTAAGTAGTAATATATCTAGACTCTACCACACAGTAATCATTTCCCATAAGGAAAGCCTGATACAGAGTATAACTAGCTAGCTTTTATCTACAGATCTCACAAAATCAAATAGGATATCCATCTGTTAGGGCTTAATATGAAAACCTTATGGTTTTCATTTTAATAATGCTTTGTGTTAAAGATCATGAGGTTCTCTATTGGAGAGGGATCATTTACCGCACGTTTCTTTGCTATTGCTCTTGTTGCTTGTGTGAAAAGATCTTCCCCTCAGACCTAAAGGAGACTTTAAGGAACAGTTGGTGTTAAGAGTTCTGCACTTGTATTTTTATCTTACTTCCTTACCTTGCCCAGCGCCTCCGTCGGACAAAGTCTTTCATTGTCTTGTGACCATGGTAGGACCTGCCAAAACAGATTTAAATACAGGTTCCGACTTCAGTGGCAGCCTGAGAGAGCTGTCATGGATCTGCCCCTCAGACACACCCTCGGACTTTGTAATACTTGAAACTATATAGTTTGCTAAGTTCTCCTTGCTGCTCTACCTCCCCAGCAAACTCCAGTGTTAGCGTCCCCACATACAGGAAGAAATCATGGCACACCTCCCCTGCTAAAGCATGGCTAACATGCAAAAAAACAGCAAACTAGAAGAAAGGACTTAAATATGCCGTTTGCCTGCTAGGCTTTTAAGTAGAAGAAGGTATTTGCTTACGCTGGAAAGTCTGCTGCATACTGCCAGCCTTCACGATCAGTTCCACCTGATGTATTAAAATCAATATACCAGTCGGATACCTATTGCCAAAAGATAGTTTCAATAAGAAACAGAAAAAAAACTAATGTATAATAAAAATAACCTCTTTCAGTATTTCCTCTCTACCATTTGGATTGCAACAGCTTGCTAGAAACGTTCTAATACTTACAATATAAATTCATACAAAGGTTCCCAAGTCTGGCTTTTTAGAAATTCAGGGATACGATTAACAGAAGTCTAAGTACAATTAAACAAAAGAATCCTACTCAATGCTTAACATTATTTTAACTATGGGAAATTACTGCTAATATATAAATGGGAAACCCATTGCAAACCCATGAAGAAAAATCCAGGTCATCTGAGACAAATGCTACGCCTTCCCTTGCTTTCTTAGTAAAGACTTTTAAAACGAAATTTACCCAAGACCACTGCGGTGAAGGAGGCTTTGTATTCATTTTTGTGCATTCCTGCAGGCCAGATGCATCACTCCACATGTGTCTGTCTGTGGGCAGACCTCTGTGATGAAACAGTTTACAAGGAATGCAAGGTCATTTACAGCAACAGAGAATTTAAAAGGGGGAAAAAAAGCATACTCCTATTTTCCTAACACTTCCTATTTTCATATATGAAACAGCCTTCAGTCATTAATCTCTGTATTTATCATGTGAATGAGGAGGGTAGTGGGAAGCAATCTGTACAATTGCTTCCTATTACACCAAACTTGAAGTCAATGTTAAACTTTTCTCTGGAGAGTAACACTCCTATTAACAACTGGAAGGTGAGTCCTCAGTTTCTGACGTAGACACCCAGACATGTGAATAATTTTTGAATATTTCTGTTCAAATATAGTATTCAAAGACCCAATATATTTAGCACAATATATACGTGAATACATAGCTCCTAAAACAAACTTGTTCTATGACGTTTATACTGAAATATGTTGTAAACAGGCAAATTTTGTGCACTCACAAAACACAAATGTGTAATGCCTTGCTATAAATGCATTTTGAATGAATATTTACAGATCTAGGAAATTCAAAGAGTGTACATATTGCATCTCAGGTTAACAACAAACGCTGGAGAAGACTCAAGATAGAATTAGCTACAATAACTACTTTGAAAAGCTAGAACCCCTTGATGTTTCATTTGATGACAGTAAGAAACATGCTAAATAAATAGAGTAAATAACCTGCTGCTATATCCAGTTACTGGATTCCACCGTTGGTTCTCATAGATATAAACACATTTCACATCTGATTGCGTATAAATATTATCAGCGCTACTGGCCAGTCCTGCGAGAAATAAATCATTTGGATTATAACAAAGCTAAACCTTAAAGACACCGCATTTTGAATTCCAGTAGCCCCAATAACATTGATAGTTATCCTATTTCTCACTTCTAAGCAGAAAATATAAAGCTTTAGTACCAAGTCCTTCCTCATGTGTGACATGTCCACTGTATAATTCTACAAATCAGATAGATAGGCTAAACAAAGGACAGTAGTTTGAATAGTTGACACCAATCAAGAAGAAGAAATGTGTGCACCACAGCAAAACAATCATCCTTACCTTGAATGAAGCCACCCCCATATCCACCAGTATAAACCCAGGCTGTGTGATCATATCCTATGCCCCACACTATGCCTCGGTTATTGCACTCTATCAGTCGAAGATGACCTCCAATTTGACGCCAAAACCTGCCAGAGAAGAGACAGTATTTTACATTTATTCCATGCTACAGCTATCAGGAATGCATGCTTCCCCCCACATACACCTTAACTATCTTAAAGAAAGGCAACTCTAGTTGCTAATTTGTTCAACCTCTGTCCAATTAGTGGGTGAAGGCAGTTGCCAATTGAAAGTATTCTCTTTAAACAACTACTGAAAAGCAATCGGAAGGAACCTTTCCGCCTTCACTTTGAATTTTCAGGATTTGAAGTCTTGTTTTCATTTAATTTTGTGGCTTATGCTTTATATTTGTTTTCTTTATTAAAATACTAGTTATGATGGTCTTGCTAGTATTTTTACCTCTTAGCAGCCACCTGCCTCAGCATTAGATTCACCCCTTTTTTTTTTTTTTTTTTTTAAAAACCTAGGACTCTTCTTTATCTAACAAGAAAATAAAATGATTTATAGATCTGCTAAGGAGCTTTGGAAATACAAGGAGTCATAGAGGATTTCTCGCTAGTCTTCTCCATCTCAGCAGGTTAATCCTTTCCTGGGGCTTTATGCAGCCAGCTGGCTATGGTACTTGTCTGGAGAAGACTGGGAAAACTAAAGTGACTGCACAGGAGTACTTTAGCTATGGCTATGATAAGAGAAGATCTAGGTCACAGATTCCCCCATGATTTGTGATTTTCCAGACGCTAGAGGTGCTCTACCCTGGAAGGAAAATTACTAAAGTATTCTCACATGTTATTTATGCAAAGACACGTTATGCAAGTAACTTGGAACTGGGGACACTGAAGCTCTGCCTTTAACCTACCAGTTCTGAGGCTGTTATTTCTGTGCCTGAAGAGCACGCAGGACTGTGTTTTCACAGTTGTAATGTTCAACTGTAAACAGGCTGCTCCTGGACTGTTGTAACTAGAGGATTCAGAATTGCACATTTCCTGACTCACATACTACTGAAAGCTCAAACTACCTTAGAATTCCAGTGATTAGGTTTAGTTTTAGTCTAAGCTGTCTCTTAATTTTGATAATTATTTCATTTAAGATGCAATCCTAAAAACCTTTCAAGTCATTCTTGTTGCGATCTCAAACAGAAAGGCTTTTGAAATCACATGAATAGCTCGGCATCTAAGAATTAAAATATGACCTAATTAACTTCTTCAGATACACTCATGAATATGAAGGCAGCCATTAACCTTGTCATGGACAGACATCTGCAGTGTACTAGAGATTCCAACAGCCTGTCAAAGCTACTGACTTGGCATGAAAGACCATCTTTGCTGGATTGCCTCCCATGCAGCAAAAATAGCTTCTGGAAGCTCTTACATTTGATCACATGGCATCAGGTGTGGTCCAGCCTCCAGTTCAGGACTTGGCTCACTAACAAAGATGTCTCCTTTACAAGTAACTGACCAAATGGCCTGGTGGGAAGGAGGGCCTTGAATGCGTCTGCTTTCGCAACAGGACATGCTCAGTAAAGCCAGCTACAAATCAAGGAAAAAGCAGAGAACTAGAAGGCTCCTTTTACAGTGTGAACAAACATTAAACAAAGATGCTCTAGTACTACAAAACAAAGCTTCACCTTTACAGGCTTTTGCAAATCAGCAAAGTAAATTAGCAGCTGTTTAGCTCGAAGGCATTGTAATTCAGTGTTTTAGAAATTATGAACAGAATCACTGGAATTACTGTGATTTACAATATCCGATCATTATGCAGTATCTTTCAGATGTTCCACTACTTCCACATAGGTATGCATGACTGTCTAAACATAAAAATCTCTACAGCCACCACAGAAAAACAGCTTTTTCTGAGCTACGACAGATAACAGTTCTACCAACAGAGAAGAAAAGACTAGCCGAATTAAATCCTAACTCATTCATAGCCTAATCTATACCCAGAGATTTCCAGAAGGAAAACAATTTTGATGTTACTATGGATAACTGCTGCATCAGGAAGTCTGCGAACTCTAGAGGAGACAGAAAACCTCAGGTGCCTCTACATAAACTCGAATAGGACTTTTTGAATACCCAATCCTATTGTCAAAATAGATAAGGACTCTAGATATTGTAAATGTAATGCTCAGATTTCAGAGACTAGGCTTTATGTTTTACTTCAAATATTGCCAGCCTGAAATGGAGAGTTCCCAGTATTACCCAGTCATGCATTTCTTGCTCTGTTGTGGCTGCTAGACGGATTGGCCAGCGCTGCTTCGTCCTTTCAGGTGTATACAGGGCAAAGGAGTGTTTAGCTTCATTCAGGACTTCAACTAGAATAGTGACTTCATTCAGGAACACATGGATATACTAGGACAAGAGAAAACATGTTTGTGACCAGGGCAAACTCAGATAAACCTTCCTCAGCACCAACATGTTTGCACTTGAGAACTCTGAACGCTCATTTCGTGCCAAGGAGAGCAATGAATCTCATTCATGAAGTGGGGCTAAATTTACAATCCTTCATTACCTCTTGTGTCATATTGCCAATATGCGTCAACCCAATTTGTGAAGACCCTGGGCAGCCAAGCATGGTTCTTTCTTCACAAACAGGAGCATTTTGTACTTCCAAAGGAATTCTTAATTAGTGCAAAGCTGGTGGTTTAAGTGATGTGGATGCTCGCTGACGGGAAATTTCTGACAGAGTGGTAACACAGCTTTAGTTAGAAAAGCTTTTAATTTGCTATTGCCCTAGACTACATTTGAGTTGGTTCCCAAAATTCAGAACAACAGCGTATCATAATTTGCCTCTATTTAGAAAATGTTGTTTTCCCTTCATAGGTTTTCCTCTGCCAAGTGCAGTTCTTCCAAGGGTTTCAAATGAACACACCTTTTTCTCCTCATGATACATGTAATAGATGAACAGGATGCTATCTCGCATTCCGTCACTCCCAGTGAACTGTTCAAGTGCAACTCGAACATCCATCCATTTCTGAGGCTTCCAATTTCTCCACCATTGCAAGGTCCCAGTTTTAACCCAAACTGACTGTAACACAAAACACAAATTTACAAGAATAGGTAAAGAAACTGTATGTCTCCTCTCCTTCCTCACAAGCATTATTTCTTACCAGAGCATTCAGAAAGTTGAACGCAAAATGAAAACTGGCAAAACTGGATTGTAAGGCATAAATAGCATGTGTACATCGGTATTACCATGGTACCTCTGCAGAGAATGCAATACCACACAGATACTAATTGAATCTGGTGTGTTCCTTGTTACCTTTAGCAAGGAAAATACCACAATTTCTGTCTGACTTCAAAGGCCTTTGACAGAATCCTTTTAAACTTGGATTAAAACTGTAGACTCCAAGTGTTTTATAATCAAATCAACTGCATATGTTATTTCGCAATTAGCAATGAAAAAACCTGAATGAATCTGAAGAGAGCCGCAGGAATCTTATCAAAGGGGCCTCGAAACAAAAGTGCTGCTATTTAAATACTATTATTGACATTACTATCATTGCCTTATTTATGCAAGTTATGTTAATCCCCTGATGGTCGCAAAGAGAAAAGCTCACCTATTTGAGTCAGTGTTTCAATTAAGAAGCCTCATCCTGTGGTAGAATAATTCATACTTGTTCCATTGTTCAAAAACCCTTCTCAAATGTCTGTGGATTTGAGGCTTCAGTGTATTTAAAAATGTGCTGCATTTTCTCCTGAACAAAACAGTCAAGGTAATGTTTTTACGTACAGATTGCTGCTCAAGGTTTGATAAGCTGCTAGTTTCCCACAGGGAGCCTGGACAGTGATATGCCAGGCTCTCACTTATAGGCAGAAATAACACATCTGTAAAGTTCTGCTGATGCCCGGTACTGACAGATATAAGTGCTTAGCAGAAACAAATAGGCATCCTCATTGCTTACCTGCTCAATAGCCTGTTCATAGTGCCTAAAATTCTCCAGTTCCCGCTTTGTTCTTTCACTGAGCTGTTGAAAAATCTGCTTTCGCCATGCTGCTGTCTGTGCTGGGGTGATAGACAGAGAAAGAGACTGCACAGAGGATGTTAAACCTAGAACAGAACCAAAAACAATGAACTCCAGTAAGCTCTGAATACGATTTTGTGAAACGGGCACTCAAGGGAAAACGTGATGTTGCTTTGAACACCGGACCAAATCAACCCAGTCTAATCTAATTTATCCAGTTAAAACTTTGGGATCAGCGTGTTATAGCTAGACTTCATAAATAATGAAGAGAAATGGGATCACTAGATAACTGTACAGAATCTTCCAAAGCTTTAACTATATAGTAGGGGGAGGTAGAATGTATGTCTTACAGATTTTGTGACTAAACTGCATGAACAGTTACACTGTTACTAAATACTGGGATGCCACAGTTCATGACAATTGGTCTATTTTGAAAACGTGATTCTGCTCCACTGCCCGTCAAGAATCTACGTTCTAACCTATGCAACTATCAGTGTGGCCTCACACTCGCAATGCCTCTTAAAGTAACTTCTCTATCTTACCCTTGTCAAAGTAGGAATGGTAGCAGCAAGGCAGCATTGTGGAATTCTGAATCTCTCAAGGGAGCCCTCTTAACTTCTGTCAGTTACTACCAACTGACAATATAGCTTTGTTTTGCCTGAAGTTCCAGTTTCAGTGCCATGAAAAACTAGCTGCATCTCCAGCATACTGATTATTTTGCATAATTCTGCCAGAAACTGAGAGAAAATATGCAGCTAAATGCAAGCAGCACTCTCCTCAAACAAGGAGTGTAACAACAAACCGCAGTAAAAGCAAATGGGTTCTAGGAAGTTTTGAGCTATGGGTATCTTATTTTGCTGTTTGAAAAAATCATCATCATTTTTCTTAAAGCAGCATAAATTGTGATTGGAACTTAGGGTCTGTTGCGGTGAGCGGAGAGTACCTGATGGAACAGTGAACCATTTCAATGGGCTGTGTGAGTCCACGTGACAGCCTCCCCCTGAGACCCAGGCCCACAGTGGGTGCTCATCAGCTCCATACTGTTCTTCAGCTCCCACGGAGAACATGCCCAGGGAAGACAGGCTGGATGTTTCTGCAAAGGTGCTGCCGGAGAGGACTGGGTGCTTTTGGGCCTCTTTTAAGTCAATGTTGGTCCACTGCAGTTCTGCAGAAGGATTCTGGTTGGTAGAAGATTTATGTTTTTCAAGACTGGCTTTCTCATTACTAGTCGAAGCAACGCTGGCTTCTCCTTGATCAGAGTCTAGGGGATCCACAGCCAAATTTGCACTTATTTCTGCTGTCTGGTGGCCTGCACCATTACCACTGTTGCTGGCTGCAGCTCCCAACACGGGAGTGTTGTTGGCAAGGTTCACAGATACACTTGGAAGCTCTGAATCAGAGGAAGTATCTGCATCACCCTGAATGATCGCATTTGTTTGGTTCTGAATATCATCAGTAAAGAAACAGCCAGCACTGAAAGACAAATTGATAATTAATTATCATTCAAAGCATTATAAATTAGCACAGGCCTGAGACCACAGACATACAGAGAGAGACACAGCCTTTCAGCTTTAGGAAAGAAACAGCAGGCTTCTTTTTTAAAGATCAAACTGTCATCAAGGTGAAACTGTCTAACATAACTCTGCACACCAGTCTAATAAATCCAAGACATAGGAAGATATTTCATTGATCTTTACAGACAATCAATAGTGTTGACTGCCTACAACTCTCAGGAAAATATTGAAACAACATCATATTTTCTGGATATCAAATAATAACTGGGACTTGTAAAGCCCATTAACTTTGTGATTTTTCTCTTAACTAGCATGTGCTTCTATTCAGAGCATTTTCTGACTCATAAGGTTAAACAAGTGGCTTCTGCAGCACTCCTAGCTTCACTGGCGCCGGCACTCCTAGCTTCACCTCTTGCACAGCCAACAGGTCAGCAGTCAGCAGGGAGTTGCTAATTTAACCTCTCTAGGAAAGAAAATGGGACAGTGACACTCAGGAGAAGGATAATCATTAAGCAGAGATTATATTCCTTCACAGGTAACGTTCTGTCCTATTAGAGACTGGTTCCTCATAGCAATAGTAAACACCAGAGAAATACGCTTTACTGTAAGGACGCAGTGAATTCCCAAGTGGGAATATCAGCTTCTACTCAAGTAGAACAGCTGCTACTCACAGTGAACTGTAATGGCAAAAAACCCAAATACTCTTTGGCATATATAATGGTTAGACACCTCCCCCATCCTCCGTGTCTGTACTGTGTGAATATACAGAAATATCTCCTATCATTGAAACCCCTGGCTTACAGAGTTTAGAGCAGGTATCTTGTTAAGTACCTGAGCAGACTTGTTGAGCTCCCCGTCTGAGATCTGTCACTCTCTCTGCCAGATACAATTGCCTTCCACGTCTTCCCACTGAGCTCACTTGGCGTGACACCTTGACGGAAGTAAATTGCTCTGTCATCACAGCCAATTCCCCAGACCTAGGGAAGGAAAGGGCTTGAGGAAGGAAATGGCACGGAATGCAGGTAGATACCATCTACATAAAGGTGCAGTGCTGGAAAATGCAGGGCAATGGTCTGCTGGACTCAGCATTTTCCCTTTGCATTCTTCTGTAGTGCTGGTACTGTAGATGAAATATAAAACTCTGCCACTAAGAGCAGACTGTTTGCAACTGAATGCGTCATACAAGAGGCATGCTGACTGTTACCTTCTGGTAAATAATTTAGCCGTGCACTCCTTCCTAGAAGTTCAATCACATGGACCTCTTTTTCAGCAGTCCACACAGCACTGCTGACACAGTCCCTATGACGTGTGTGAATATTGCCTATACAAAGGGGAATGTAAGTGTCCTCACAACTGGTATTCGTACAGCTGTCTTACCTGGTTGTTTAAGCCTACATTTACCATCATCATTTCTCCAACCATTTCAATCCAGCTTGTTCCACAAGGATTATGCGAGTTCACACCTCTTCTAAACCACACCTACAACAACAACAACAACAACAACAACAACAACAACAACAACAAAAGTCTAAAGTTTGCTCCCTCTGTACTAGCAGGCAGGCAGCTGGAATGTAGTTTCTTACTCTGAATCTCCAATACCGACTTGCCACGTTGCCTTAGCCTTCTTAATGAGCAAGCATTGGCTCATTTCCTTTATCAGGTAAAGATAAAGTAATTCTCTTAGTAGTTTCCAGACTCTGTGAGCACGTGACCCAACTAGAGCCAGAACAGCCCACAAGGATGATCTAGACATTTTGTTATGACTTTCTGTAACAGTCTTAGTCTCTCTGACACTGGAAAAATATTTTCTATTACATGTTAACTATAGGCCATTTTTTGGTCACTCCGAATGGACTTCAAATAGCGTTTCTACCTTCAAACCCTAAAAGCAATGCTAAGAGAGAGAACTGCAGATTTTGTTAGAGGTGGAGCTTTTAACAGTCTCCTCTTAGATTAGTTTTGGCTTATCAGAAAGCGTCTGTCTGTGGGCTGGGTACCTCTAGAAGTAGGATATGGTCATATAATGGGAAGCAGCTACCGTGCAAGTTGTTTGTCAGCTGAATCACATAACAGACTTGACTACCTTGTGGCAAATCTGAAGAAAAATATATTAGCTTATCCACATGTGGTTTTATGTGGCAAATGGAGCAGGCTGGACACAGTCAGTTACCATGGCTCAGCTGACAAGCAGTAACTCATTAAACCAAGGTAATTCAGTTATTTACAACTGCCATACCTATCCTTATCCCACAGTAAGTGCCAGAGGGAGAATTATATCAATGGTTTAACTATTTTGATTAAAATCATTTCCTTTGTTTCACTTACGTAACTTCCTCGGGTAAAGAAGCCCTTAAGCCACACAGGCTAAAAGGAATCTTATTTATATTATCTATCTTAAATTGTCTGTAAATCCTGGAAACTACAATGTCAGAGTAAGAATCCAGAAGTATTACAATGTCTTAGGGATTGAAATCAAAAATTATTTTCTTCCCCACCAGAAGTCATTAATGTTTTTGGATGCCAGATGAAGGGATTTGATGACTACTGGCACAAAAGCACTCTAGGACATTCTCAAAGACTTTAAGCAAGTGAGACAAAGCTTTGTCTCTTTGGAGAAAAGGCAGGGCAACCAGAAGTCTGTTTAATTTTGATGCTTACTATCCCTTAGTAGTAGGCCCTTTATATTCCCCCACAACGTACACACCTCCCACATCTGTGTGACTTGGGTTTAGAAAATTCCTTCCAAGAGAAAAGCAAAAAAGTCTCCTCAGAGTTACACACAACTGTTTACATTACAAACCACAGAGCATTCCCATAACAGCAGGGGGACTGGGATTCCCCATGAACATAGGGAGTTCAAGTCACCAATATTTCCTATGGAAGTTATATGCAAGCTTGAAAAAAGCAGAAACAAATGGGGGAAAAACGTAGAACCAGAACATAACACCTCTTACTTTTCTGTCTTTCGTAACACCCCACACCACATCAACACCCACAGAGATGTGCATAATCCCATTTTCAGAGCTTGGCGATTCCACAATACTCCAGGAAATTCCTGCAAGAAACAAAACCAGGAAGCCATTGTAGGTTAGTTTCTTATGCTACACTATACAAATTATAGGGGTTTCCTGCTAAATATAACAAAGATTTACCTTGAGGGTTATTCCTATCAATTCCTTCTCTCACAATAGCTTGTCCTTCCCAAAGAGTTGCCCAAAGGAGGTCGTATGGTCCACAGCTGATTTGTACCACTTCACCAGGAGTGGCGATTAAGGACCACACAGAACCTTCTGGATTGTGATGGCAAACATTTTCTCTGTACCACACCTAAAAAAAGAAAAACTTACTGGAAAAATACCAGTATAACAATGAAACCAGCCAGACAAGCATGAAGACCACCTGGACTGGAAAGAATAGTCCACATTTAATAATAGTCTTTTTTTTTTTAACAGTATTTGCACACTGACATTTAAAGATAATTTTTGATGTTGGTTACGCAGTTAAAGTCAATTTCCTTATGTACTAAGGGAGGAGGTGTTTCTACACACTGCCTTTTATCATGCAAGTGAATCTGGACTGAGCATATGACCTATCGCTACAAGGTCTGCGTACATTTCAACATTTAGAAACATTTCAGGAGATTAAGGCATGTTAAATAAACCAAGAATGAACAAAGATACAACACAAAAACATTATTGTTAGATGAGAGCCCAACCTCATTTTCACTGAACAGAGCTTGCCACAATATGGGTCAAAATTCCATTCTCTGTACAGCCCTGTACAGATTCTGTGAAACCCTGAGCAGCATCCAGCCCGCTTGCTAGTCTGGGCCTTACTGTCTGTGCACTTTCCTAGAGGCTACAGTGGAAACAGGAAGGTCAAACATAGAAAGCACCCTATGGTGGGCATGTGAGTGTTCCAAAAACATGACTGCAGAGTGCAAAATCCTAATTTTTTTAAATATTTTATTTTCTCTGGGAACTTTTGCTTGAGAAATTATAGCATTTTACAACGTCTGTTAAGTAAAACTGCGGAGTGGGATGCTGTCACTTATTACTGGGAAGCCTGAGGCACAGGGAATTTTATTCTAAACAATTCAACCAAGGTTGCCTGCCTCTCCAGTCAGGGACAAGTGTGAATGACATCTCAGACTACCTGTTACTGTTATTACATTCCTCCCCCTAAGACCACAAGGTAGAAATTGTCTAGAGACAAAGGAAGGCTACTCAGATACATGCTGTAAGAATGAAGGCAGGAAAGCAGAATCAAGTGTTTATAGCACACAGCAAAACAGGAGAGACTTTACAATGGGCCTAAAAATAAAAAAATGAAAGATGTAGTTTTCGACAGAAAATAAATTAAAAGCATGCCAGAGCTGGATTCCACACTGCCAAGTCAGGACATTCTAATAGCACTCCCGGACCTAGTGTTCCAGAGAGTTTTAATAAGCAAAAGCCCAGCCTGTGAAGGACTAAAGGGGAAAGCCAGTTAGCTAACAATTCAAAACACCACTTAAGGCTAGCCTCCGTTTCCTGATCAATGATAAGTCTTGGAAAAAAAAAAATCTTGGATATTTTTTAATCTCTTCCTTGAATTAACTTCTGACTCTCCACCACAGAGACATGGTGCAATGCTTTGCAATAATCTTTATCAGGTTTTAAGGCTCCTTCTCTTTGTTAGTGGTGCCATACTCTTGTGTGCTGCCCTCCTATCTTCATGGGCATTTTTCAGGATATAGGACACTGTTCAGCACAGACTTTTAGGATTCAGCTGTTTATACTGGTTTACTGCTTCCATAACCCTGTGAGATACTAGTCCTGAACGCTCCCTTTCCGTTTAGATTGTAGGTTGTTAAATAACGCAGGCTTAAAGCAGCTTTACATCCTCTGCTAGACACACCACCAGCATAGCTCCTTACCACTGTAAGATGATAACACACCTGCCTTGCTTGAAAAGCATTTACCTCCCATTCAATATTAACTTTCATATGAGAAAACTGATGGAACATGCACATACCCTTCCTTGTAAAGAAACCGCCCATACTGATAAACGGCCAACAGGCTCATCAGTGATTTCCCATCCTCCAATGGAGATATCATTGAAAGGGTCTGGTAACTGATCTGGATCATCATGTGATATAATCTGAAGCAAAGAGAAGGAAGATTAAGAACAAAGGAAGAGAAACTGCAAATAGATCGCCGTGATTTGGCTTAACTCAGTTTTTGCAAATTGGTTTATATATCACTTATTAAAATGGCTGAGAATGAAGCCTCTTCCTCTCATTCCAGGCTGCTATACGCAGAGAGAGGGGAAACACTGCTGAAGCAGCATGACGGAGTGTGTGTTTCATCCCCTACCAACAGGAAATTTTGCTCACAGACTACCCTATACAGGCATTATTTATTGCACTGGAAAGCTGGAACATCACAGATTACAGTTCTGCACATTCTCAGAATGGAAGTAAGCAATAATTACTCACACAGATAAAGAACATAGCTAGGTGAATGATGCCAATGAGGTGCTACCTTGAAAGAAAATGTTTGGTCATACAACCAAAGGAACTTAAACTGATTTGAAATCTGCAGAAGAGCTGGGCACCTAACTTCTCCTGCATTACCAAGGGATTTGGCGCCTTATTACCATGGATTTCTATGAAAAATCCCAGTTTTTCACTTATGCTTGCAAGAATTACAAGACTGGAAGCCAAAGAATCCAGGTCCAGCCGAGGGAGCAGTGATAAAATGCCAATTTCTCAGCACTTCTGGTTGATTTTTTCAGAAATCAGTTTAGTTTATATTTAAATGAAATCCAGAACCTTTGCCCAAACGTCCCGTGATTTGTATCTCCTGTATCTGATCCACCTCCTGCGTCGGACACAAGAATTCCACTTCTTATCCTTAGTGTAGGTGCTGGGGAAGTCTATGGCGTAAGTCCAACCCTGCAAACAAATGGTTTCTTTTATGAAAATCGGGACCAAGGGAAAACATGAAATCATAACTCAGAGCAACGGTGCACAAGAGTCACTCCTACAAACATAATACAAATTATTGTGCACGTCTTAACAGCTCTGATCAGCAGATCAACTAATTCTATGAATGATTTATGAATCATGTCCTAATGCTTCTGCATGATATATACAGAACAAACAGGACATAGTAAGGCATTTTACTTTGTTTCTAGTAAAGATCTTAAATAGCAATGATATCCAGTTGCCAACACTTCATTGCCTGATCCAAAGTTTATTCAAGTTCAAAAAAAAAAAAAAAAAAAGATAAAAGAGTTCTCATAGGCTTCAAAAGCCTTCAGACAAGATCCTTCCTTGTGTGGTATTATAGTTGAACTATTTCCCAGTAGGAACTGGCTATGGAAAGTTAGTGCCTTTTCTTTTTACAGACCTTTTACACTTTTATAAAAAGTGCCTTTTATTTTACAGACCGAGGATTTCCAGAACAGATCTCTTTTTGGTATTGTTCACCTACCCCTTTCTCTGTTGGTTCCCCTCCAATATTTTCATCCACATACCAGTCAGACTCCCACTCCCAGTGTGGTGAAGGCAGTGTGAAACTATCAAGCTGCTGATGTTTTAGCCCGCTCACATCACTCCACTGCCAGCGGTCGCTGGGCATTAATTTCTCACAAAAGCCACCAATTGGATTCCAGCGCTGCCAGAAATAATATCAATTATTTTATTTAAGATCACATCACCTCATTGGACCTATAGAGAGCCCTAGGGGTCATCAGTGATACATCTGAAGAGGAATAATTCCTGTGGTGAACAGAGAGTGTTCATACTCTAGGCCCCTAGCTAACGCCATCTTTGGAGGGAAGCTTCTTTAAATATCAAGGGCTGACTGCAGAGTTAACCCCCATCCAAATAAATAGCAACTACATACAGAGGAACACCTGAAGATACAGTTTACTAGTAAGTAGTGCATTTTCCTGTGGTACACCATGTGGTACACCATGAAACTGTAGCATTAGAATAATGCTGTATAAATGGCTTTGGGATCTCTAATCTAATCCCCAAGATAAAGATAACTAATAACTTGCCTATCCTAGAAAAACAGCATAGATGCTATGCCAGAAAGTATGTCAAGATAAACACATCACTAAATCTTCCTTGAATCTCATGTTACCAGGAGTTGTTTTGCAAATCTGGCTTTAACCAGTTTATAGAACAAATAACTCACTAGAGTTTTTGCCAATGCAGCTATGATATTTTTGTCCAAATACTCAACCACTATAGAAATACTAGCAAAATTCATCATGTAAAATTGCCCTCCATCTTATTGTACAAGGCAAATGAGCGCATAACAATTATAACACGATCTTGAAGCAAAATATTATTTTTAATTTATTTTTCCTTACTAGGAAACTGGCAAAATTGCTTTGCACATTATCTATAAGTTATTCAAAGTTTAACTTTTTTCTTGTTAGCTTTTGCAGAATATTTCCTTCTGTGCTTCCTAGTATTTTGTTTTCCTTCTTTTCATAGCTTAGAACAAACAAACAAACCAAAAAAACCCCCAGACTTTAAAGCTTTACATTTTTTAAAGAACATGCTTACGTAACTAATACCTGGAAAGCTGTATCAATGTTAAACAATATATAAAATTAGTTTGTTGTATATTTACCTATATAGGTAAGCAAATGTCTCTGCTCAACCTCTGTTTATCCTGCTACCCCTCAGAAAGCAGAGAAATGCGCAGAACAAAATTCATTACTTTTCTCTCTCAAAGGACTTTTGGCAAAATTAAAAACAAAATAATTTCCTGTAAAACAGTATTTTAAAGGCATTCTTTTGAAGTATCTCACATAGAAAGGAACATCTCACATAACACTGCTGTGCAAAGAAGTTGGAAATACATTGTCCTTTAACAGACAGTTAAGCCTTTATTACAGAATTCTTTGAAATACAGAAAAATAGTATTGGCTTAACAATAATATATTTTTCATGATGTACCTTTATTGCCTGGCAGCTACACTGGACTGGAATTTTCTTAAGGAGGTTGTGTGTTTGTCACTAAGGAAAGGAGCACACAAGGTATAAGGGGGGAATGTCCCAGTCTGAAATGGCTCGCTTAAAAAAGGCTGTAGTTCACACTACTGTCTGCTTTTGGCTAAGAACGGGGAAGTATAATCTTCATTTGGGAATTAAAGTATGAAAACAGCAGCCTGCTATTTGGTGCATATATATTTTTCAGAAAAATGAGGTAAGAAATTAAAAAAAGCAAAACCAAACAATCTTCCTACGGGAAAAACACGCAGAGACAACTGATCTAAGGATTTGCTACCATTCCTTTCTGAAGGATATACGGCAGTCTAACAGAGGTAGCCATAACATTTCATACCTGATTCTCATAGGTTTCTTCCTGGTATCTAATGGGAACGTCACCTGAGAATACATAGGTGTATACTTGATGATCACAGGCTATTCCCCAGCAGCATTGTTTGATCGCAGAGACCCGTTTGAATTCCAGCTGTGTATCCTTACAGAGCTCCCAGTACTGGCCAACAGTAGATAGAGTGTAAACCCTCCCAAAAATGTCAACAGCCCACAAAAGGGAATTGGACATGGCCATGTCTGAAAGGCAAAAAAACAAGTTATTAATAGAAATGACAATTTTAAGAAATGGATCTTGAACCTACTGTAGATCAGTTCCACTCTGAGCCATCATCAGTCATATCAAATAAAAAGTAAAGAATGACCTTTTAAAAAGAGCCCATGTGAAGCAGATAACCAGGGCTCTTTCAGTAAGAGCTGGGCCTCTAAACATCTTAGACGGCTCTAAAAACCCACGTTAAAGACCTTCCTACCAGCACACTAGTGTCCATACTACACGGCCTTACAACATTAGTATGGCAGCTTTGGCAGGCTGAGTACAGAAGTCAACGCTGCACTGAGATGCAAGGATGAAGTAGCATGGAGGGGTGTGTAGCAGAAGGCTTCGCTCTCCAGGACTAGTAATGCCCTGAGCACTGCTCACCCCAATCCAGAATAACAGTATCTCCTTAGCAGCCTCCTCTTGGCACGTGCCAGTGCGGCCGCTTGAGCGCAAAGGAAGAGAGCTGAAAGGAGCTTCTCCTCTGTAGGTGCACATCTAGTTTTAATCTGTGGTCATCATAGATGTTCTGGGTAGTGTCTACTGCTACCAGGAAAGTACTCCCGTGACCGCTTCGGGATCTGATCTTTAAGTATACACATGTATATACCTAAACGTACAGACAAACTACTCCCCCTGCAAGCGCGTTTGACTGCACAGAACTGTTTGCGTTCCATTCCAGTTTTTTCACTTACAACTTTATCCCACATAAGCTGCCATTTTCTCAGCACTGCAGCCCTATTCTTAATGGAGGGGTCAGTATTTTACCTTAGGCCAACCCTTTCAGAAGTCAAGAAGGGCTAGGCTATTCCTAGGTCATTATAGACGTTTTCCGTCAGTTGGCCTTCTGGAGGCCATTAAACTTTAAAAAATTTCAGTTACTCTCTATGTGTGACAGTCAGGACAATCAATGAGTTTTCTGAATTTTCCTTCCAGGGCCTCACCTTTGTAGTTAATATAACTGGAGGCAAACATAGAAAGAGGACTCACATCCAAAACAACGAAATAAAAAGGGAATACTTGCTTAGAATCAGCTTGCAACACTGCTTCTTTGCTGTCAAAGGGCAACTTTGCTTTCAACAGGAGCCCAAGGAGGCTTGCCAGCCTGCTTTCTGACTGGTAACTAGCAGTGATACAGAGGGACTGACTAGCACTGTGCATATCCATGGTGAAAGCAGAACTGCTGAGAATTTGGAAACAGCTAGGCCTATGTCTAAGGACAGCACAGTAAATTCACATGGAAACCCAGGGAGGATGTTTCGGAGGGCAGGAGGGAGAAGATCAGAGGCGCACAAAGTCTTATCTGCTGTTGTGCTGATACTCTTCACTGCTGAGAGATGATGATGGTAAGTACCCTAAAAAAAATTGACACACCAGGAGAAAAAAAGGTATCAGTGAGAAAAAGTATATAGCAGCAGAGAACGATCAGTGCAGGGGGATGGTGTAAGAGCAAAATTCTCCTAGGTGAATCCTCTAGTTTTGGCTTTTTAGGTTTCGCTTATTGTTGCTGGGAGGTAATAGCACTCTGTGCTTTATCTCAACTTGTGCAAGTACCAATGGGAAAACAAAGCTCACGAAAATAAGCCTTTCAGAATTAGCATTTAAAATTTTGCAAAACAGTCTTTATAAGAGCAGAAAACATTATGCATTATGCATTTAACCTTAAATAACCAGAACGCCTGTGAGGCTGGAGTCAAGGAAGCATTATGGATAACGCAGTGAAGATGATATCTGCCTAGTGTAGTCAGATAATAAAGAAAAGCGATACTTGGGTGTATTAAAGGTGGACAAATACACAGATGAATTCCTCTATCTCAATGACAGTCAAGGCAGACAAGAGTACCTGGAACAGCTCAGGAAAAGGTGAAGTTTCAAATATTCCGGAGAGTACGGAGTTAGGAAAAACGCAGACGGGACCGACTCAAGATGTTCAAGGGAGGAGCAGTTTCTGCATATTCTTTCTTTGCACTTTTGAGACGGAGTGTATGGAGAATCACGGGAACCCGGAAAGAAGCTGAGATTACAGACCGCTCCCCGCAGTGGGACTCAGGCCCCTCTGCCCGGCAGCAGACGAAGAGCAGCACCGCCCGGTCCTCAGCGACGCCGCGGGCTCGCGGCTCGGGTG